GCGTGTGAAATATTTTCGGAAACTCTTTGTGTTTGACCATCGGTGCCTCCGAAGAATTGGACGTAGTTGAAGGATGAGCGGCGCTATATCCTGTCTAAGTGCGAGTTAATCACACTGCTGATCAGCCAATCGTGGCCGAACGGTTAAGTGTTCAAACTACTAGCCCGGAGGTCGCGGGTTCGAGACTCTTCGGAGTTTCGTGAGATGCGCACTGCTGATGATTCCTAATAAGGATGAAACAGCTGTACAGTGCTTCTCGGCTTTTCAGCATAGATTGGCTTCACTTACAGGACGAAATCTCCACAGAATTGGACGAGTCTGGTAGAAACACTAGACAAATAATTCTGAAGTACGTCGGATGGTTTTTGGGAACAGCCGCTCCCTCGATAGATCATCTGGTCACACTCTTTAGTTTAGGTTGGTTAGGCCATGCACTTTGTATGCAAGAGAACCGTTCACCTCTCAGAGCCTCCTTCACTTTTGTGTAGGATAAAGACGCAGATGAGGTCAGTCCGCGAGCCGGCAACGAAGCATTAAATCCTTTACCGATCAACTCAGTCGTCTCCCCCGGCTGTTGACCGTAAGACCAAATAAACCAATGGTTAATGACCTCGGCGGATTGTTGTGTGAGGCAGCTAATGGTGGCCTTGCATCGAAGCGGTTGCCTCCACTGCGTACAAACGACTATTTGGTGCAGATGCATCTTTTTTTTTAGCTTGTTTTATTGTCATTGATCTTCACACCGACACCAACAGTCTTTGTATATCCCCCTGCTCATTTCTCTCCAGCCTAAAAGCACTCGCGCCACGCCTGAGTTGACTTTTAAGGTACCTATATTAGTTGTTTCATGTCCGAAGGGATATAATCTGTCGCATCCCCACCCGAATATGACATGACGGCCAGACTTCAGTGCCGCAATGACCTTCCGGGTTACACTGGCTAGAATTCCGTTCAACAAGGTGCCACCATACCAGAAAGGCCAAAGGGGAAGTCGGAATAAAAACAGCTTGACCCCGTAATCGGGGAGCGCTAAACGTGAAGTGTCCTCTCCTCAGGTGACTAGCATGTCCATGTTTGTGGAAGCAGCGATGCTGCCTTCCTCTGAAAATGGGTGGGTTGAAAATGGTTGGTCCAAAAGCTCACGCAGGGATCACCCAACAATGGGAGGTATTTTTCCCAACAGATCTTTGCCCATCGATGTGCCTCCTCAAGCCCATCTCACCCTGCAAGTAAAGGCCGCAGGATCACCTGACCGTCAGTTATCTAACCGGTTGGCCTTACCAACAATACACAGAATAAGACTGATAGATCCACGATATTCTTTCTACAGGCCCTTTCAACATCCGCACTCCATGTCAAATCAGCAGAAAGGCAATGCCTACCCAGACCTTATACTCTTTTGAAGTTGATGTAAGCTGTCTCTGAAACACTCATACAAAACGGGAACGTGGTCATGCATCTCAAAGGACCAAGGACAAACTCATTTTTTTCACCTTTTACTCTTCGTGCATCTGGTGATCCGGAAGTAATGAGTCGTGGGATATAGGGTGTAGGGTTGCACGCAGACTCAGAGCTAAACACGCTTTGATAACTTGGATTCCAGTGAACTGTCTTCTTTGAGCTGTTCTATTATACAGCTCAGTCAAGCTGTGCCTGTTTTTAGTGTCAGCACATGCTTCAGCGAACTTTGACATAGAGAGCAACACACCAAACTCATTCACCAAGCCAGAAGCACTGATAGTGTGATCCTTCCGGCCTATGTGAATGACAAAAAACTCGGACGTTTGAGCTCCTCGAAGCCACGTCTGTGTGGTCGGTTTAGAGCCGATGCTCGTCGACTATCCCAGCCATGAGCTGACCACAAACTGTTTCTGATCAGCACAGCTTTTCAAGATAAACACTCGCACCCTTTTCAGCTGTAGCAACCTTTCGGTGCCCAACTGCCGTGCCATCAGAAGGAAACACGAGGGCAGGGATACTGTCAGATTGCCCAAGCCCAGACAGTGTAATTAGAGAGGCAGAGGTCAGATTCGAAACATGGACCTTCCAATCAGTAAATTGGCGCTCTAATCACTGAGCCATCCCGCTTCTCACTCGCACCAAGTGTAGATCATCAGTGGATTGGGTTACGTGGCTATGGGCCACTGGTGTAGAACCTCCATTCAGGACTGGCGCTACCTCTATTGAACAACTTAATTTCAACCAGGCCCTAATGTGAGTACGAATAACAATTCACCATCCTTCAGGCCCTCGCAAGTCATCACGAAGCTTGCTAATATATTACGCTCGGTGAACTACCGTAGCTCAGTAGTATCGATCTGGATTGGCTAAACGATTGTCCACACTGTGCTGGGAGCGAGTGTGTGAATGAAGCATGGCAGTGTGAAAGGAGCGATACTAGCAGCGTTCATTGCTGTCTGTCTGACATCTCCGACACGATCAAATGACCAATCGATATAGTCAAGATCGCCGGTCTTGATTGATGCCAGGGTATTCATACTAAAAGTGACCGAGTTTGACAACGCACTGAAATCTGCCGAACACCAAGTAGTAAGGAGACTAAAGGAAGACCGAGTGACTTGGTGAGTATCGAAGGCTCAAGATATGGAGGAGGCTTTTGTCACCGGGGACAGCCGTGTTCAAAAGTCCGAACTGGAAAGATGGACGGAGCCCCTTTGTGACGTTGCATGCAAGTGAATGAAATATAAACACTGATCACCCGTCAGTAGGAGAAATAAAGTACGATATGTGTCTGCTCAAACCTCAGAAAGCACCAGAATCACACGGTTTGTATCCACCCTTCTTGAAAGTAGGTAAATGACCATTAGTTGCCCTTCTAACCAACCTTACTGGTGCCATCAATAGTTATTTCTGTCTTCAAAAGGGGTTTGCGAAAATATTATTGAAACCACCATAATATTAGCCTGGGAGCTGTGGCATCGACGGTGCTCACTGGTCTCATCCTTTGAAGGTTAACTGGACACAGCGTCAGCAGCTCCGTCTTGCCTGGGTTCCGCCATGCAGGAGGATATATCGGTCACATTTCCGGTCCCCACAGGTTTTGTAACAGAGTCACTACTCTCAGCAACCAACATTGGTAGCCTTCCTCGACTTGCCATTGTGGACTGCCAGGCACTGTCAGTGTCTATGAAGCAAGGGCGTCCACCATAAATTCTTGGTCAACCCTGAAGCGCTTTAGGGCAACACCCGTGGACGCGTGAGTTCCTTCGGGGAGCTCTCGTCTGAGTTCACTGCATGTAGTGGTGTCAGACAAGGCTCGATACAACTGTGGAACACAGCCTCTAATGCTTATGGAAATGTCCTCAGGGCATTCGCCCACGCATAGCGAGCACGTGGACGATCTGACGCTTTATTTAGTGCAAACTATCGAATAGTCCAAATAATTCTACTTCGCGGGTTTGCGCGCACTTCGCACCTGCATAGTTTGGAGTGCTACTCCAAGACCGGGTGGGATCATGTTTGCGGATGAGCCGGTTGAGGTAGTAGACAAACTTGCTTACCCGGGTAACTGTATCAGTCCAAGTGGCCTAGCTAAGGATGATACCTCCTTCTAGACTTGGAAGGCTAGAGCAGCTGTTGTCAACATGCATCACCTATGGCACAGGCTTTACACCAGCTTACCTTTCAAGGGTCGAGTCCATAATGCTGCAGTGCACTCCATATTGCCATGTGGGTCAGAAGCATGACCAATGCAAGCTAATAACGTCATAACCTCTCAATGCTTAATCATCGGTGTTTTCGGGGAATTGACCGAGTTTGGTGGAGACAGCGTATCTCTAGTGATGATGTACGTCGGGTGGTTTTATGAAAGAATAACTCGCTCAAGATAGGTGAGCTGATCATATTTCATAGGTTGCGTTGGCTTAGTCGCGTACTGCGTATACCGGTCAACCAACTTTCTCGGAAGCTTTTTTCGCGTAACCACTCGAAGGTTGGAAACGAGTCGAAACGAGTCTGTCACGGGTAAGCTTCCAGTCGGCTGTTCCAGGGTGATTGGTAACCAACAACAGCCTCAAAATCGGTAACTAATGGCTGTTCGTATAATTTTCCCCATGATCATTCCCCAGTAGGGTCCTAGGTGGTGCAATATCGCCTAATGCGGCCAAGCCCACTACCGTTGAGGGCAAAACCGGAGCCTGCTGTACTGCCTGAAGTGTCGGGTGTGTTCTTTCTGTTCTATATGCAAATCAAAATCTAGCAATAAAGCGGAGAAAAATCCAGGTGGGTAAGTAGTAGAATTATTCGCCTTTAATTTTCACCCGGCTTGCTGACCAGAAAAGGTGATTTTTGTGGCCTTTATCCCATCACGTGGGGTTCATTCTTCCAATCTTTAAAATCCGATTTAATTGTCTAATTCAATTTGTTAAGTAGATCCTGATGATCAGTTTTCCATGATTGTCACCCTCTATCCACTTGCCTTCATCGTTTCGACTGCTGACAACATTGATTTCTACACTCAGTTAGTCAAAAGTCTACCGGTCTTATGCTGATTGTGCTCGGTCCATGATAACCCTCATGTAGACTCCGAATGAAACTCCAGGAACTCATGAACCATCTACCTCTTGTTGGAGTGCGAAACTTCCTCCCAACGCTCCCTAGGGTTTGCTTACGGATCTTTTATGGGTCCTCATGGTTTCACTGTTCTGCTGCAGTCGGAACAGCATTGAGTCCGTGAAATCCATAAGGAGCACGTTCGATTGATGTCCTCTTGTCCCAACGTGGCACTGTGGTGTGTTCTTGATTGCTGTTCACGAGTTCCCATTCCCGATTTTTAAGTGTCTTTTTTATGAGGTGAAGCTCACAGCTTGTTAAGTTTTTCACAGGGTTATTCAGCGCAGCCTAAGTTGCTGATGTACTGTTTCTTATAAGCAGGACATTAGTCATCATTTGCGATTTTACGCACCATAGATTTCACTTTTTATGTTTTAGAACGCCATTTACTCCTCGTCCTCTGGGGCATCATCTTCAGCTACGCTGAAATGCCGCTGCTCAAGTGAGTGCTAGTGGCAGTGTTGCCTAATTTTTAGCGTGCGTTGCTGTACATGGAACGTCGGTGATGAAGGCCCTCCAGAGGATAATTTAAGCACCCTGTTGGGTATTAACGGAGTCAATCCACCTGATATACTGGCTGTTGGGTGAGTTTTTCGTCAAGTATAGAACGTTGTTTAGACTACAAGAGGTAATCGAGCCGAGTGATTGGCGGAAAGCTCTCATAAAACATGCACACCCTGCAGGTTATGTGCTGGTCAGTTTCAAATTTAACATTTCCCCAACCACCCCTCATTTTCATAATCAGATGAAGTCGCGAAATTGTTGGGCTATTTGGATGTTTGTGTTTATTCGCCGTAACTTGTTGTCGGCGATCACCAATATTGAGTCCGAAGTAACTCCAGTTGGATATGCCGGTGTGATGGTAAGACACAGGTTACGTGATCCACCCTTGTCTAATTTCTGATCTAGGGTAATAAAGGTGGTGTTAGCGTGAGATTCGAGATTTGTGGAGTCAATGTCATCTTCCTTTCCTGCCATTTTGCGGCACACGCTGAACGCACCCAAGATCGTTTGAATGTGAGCAAGTGTCAGCCGTACATGAAGCATGGTTTACTTGCAGGACTTTTGGGATATAATAAAACTTCAAAGTTTTCGTGATGATGATGTGCACACGATACTTGATCACGAGTTCGTTTTCTGAATGCGAATGACGTTCTTTCTAGTTATGTGTTTTGGATGGGAGACCTGAACTTCCGGTTAGACGGGCTGGACAAACCTACTGTAGAAAAGCTCGTTGACCAGAAACGCTTCTCCGAACTAATTTCTCACGACCAGGTATTCCACACTCATTCCACCGTATTCCGTGCTCATTCTGTTTCTCCTTGGATAGTTATCCAGAAGTAGAAGGAAAAAGTTGATTTTCATCGACTTTCTCGAGGGCGATATTGACTTTCCCCCAACGTTCAAGTTTGATAAGGGGACTGATCAGTATGATAGCAGGTAAGGAGTGAGACGATCCTTGTGTACCTCGAATATATGCTTTTCGAAAAAAGTTCTATGCCTGAAAGTCGGGTACGCACAACTAAACGTAACTGTCTCACTAGAAAGCTCACTGTGGTTTAGGCACGTGATAGGATCATCCGGTACGCCTAGTGTTTTCGCTTACAGCTGTAAATTTTGGCGCTCGAATATCACATACATATACTCAAGCTCGGTATTTCTTCCAGCCCCTCAGTAAAATTGCTTGCGTAGATACGCAAGAAATTATCCTCAAATTACCATTGTTTTAGTAGAATTTCAATGATGATTCCCCATTTCTTAGTATGACACTTCACCAAGAATTGTTAGAATCGAAGTGTGCAAGCCATAAGTAACCAGCAACTTTTATTCGTGAGACCTTTAACTTTAACAAGTTAGATGTATCGTTTACATTACTGAGTAAAGTTCTATTTCCCAAGGAGATCCAACACCTACGTCTATGTAGATCTAGCCTAACAGTTACCAACCACACCTAACCTTTCGCGACCATTTCAAAACTGACCAGCTAGGTTGCCATCAGTACTCCTAGGAGGACCATGAGGCCACTCTTCGAGTTGAGACAATGAAGAAGTTAGGGAAAGTCAGCAGACTCCGCGTGTTATTCTGAGGTTGTTTGCTCTTTCCGCCAATTCGAACTTCTGGCGCCACACTTTTCTGCTCTCCCTGTCCAGTTGGCAAGAAATGACGGGCGGTATCTGAACTTTTTTTAAATTTTGCTGTCTCTATCCATTCATTGAACTCCTAACATTGTCCCGCATCTGTCGGATTTGTAGGCCTTCCATAACTGAGTGGCTGGACTCTTGATTCCTATACGAATCCGACCTCATCAGCAGGCCACACGAATCCCAGTAATTCATATAGATGCGATTGCTCACCGTGTCGTCGGCACTCTCACATAGTTGGAAATGAAAATTAGTAAACCCGAACTATCCTACATGTTCCCGCTAAACGACTATCCATAAAAAACTTTCGATATCCGTCCTAACCACATTGTATAAGCTTCCGTTACCACGGAGCTGACAAGTTGCATGGTTTCCAAGCTTTTCCAGGAAATCATATCCGCTCAGAAACACAGCTGACTTTGATCCAAACATGAACCTGCTCATCCACCGTTGTTTACTTTAGTGTGTGTGGTGTGTTAGTACTAAGGGTTTTGGATGTAGAAACAAACTTTGGAAAGTTAGCTAATATACCCATTTGTGCAAGAATTACGAGCCATACTGGCCTATGCCGTATGCAGTGAATGCTTACCGATGTCCGGCATCTATCGAACGACGGAATTTTATTCTGAATGTATTGCAGTGCACGCTGTAACAAAGCGTGAATGATTTGGCATAGTAAATATCTATGAACCCTTATGTGTGTTGAACAGTTGTTTTTTGTTTGCAGTGCACTATTCCGATCGGCTTCATGTATTCATTTTCCTCAGGGTGTCGAGACTCTGTTTTGAAACAGCGCTCGTTCTACCCGTTCTACTGCAAGAATGGTTGTGTTCCTCTGAATGACGCCCTATTTAACAGGGTATGGCGGTTGTTAGATCTGGTAACCGAATTACCGAAACATCAACTTTGTTTATTATTGGCATCTATTGGACGGGTGCTGGTCGTATTGTTTGGTTTACACCGGGCCTGAAACCGACTGTTGTAACCTGGAGTATGTTTCGGATTGAGACGTGTAGTAAGCTGGTTATCCCAAACTTGGTCATTTGACAGCTTGCTTGAAAATTTGATTCTTCAGGTATTATTCACCTTACCGTCGACTACGACATCATGGTGATCATACGGTAAGAGGGCATCGGATGAGAATAGGGTCTATAACTGTGCAGTGCAACTAGGCACAATTCGTGATTTTGCTTCACTACTCGAATGAGTGAAAGACAGGAGAATACTAGATACTTTCCGATCATAAGCGCCATCAAATGGCTGCTTTCTTTTGTTAGAAGTCAGCAATCAGCAAGTGTGTGCGAATGAACTTTTTACCAGATGATGGGTTAAGCAAGGTACATCGGTCACGATCACCCAGTCGGATATTTTGTATGACGGTTGATTGATTACACAAACACGCTCGTTGTATCTATATAAGGGATAAGAGTAATGTACTACTCATAAGGTTGCTGAAAATCTGTCGACAGCTCACGACCGGTTTCGCCCTTTTTGGGGCTCATCAGGTAGGCGCAGTCCCCGGGTTTCCGTCAACCTTATGTTCTACTTGAAACCAAATTGCACGAAATTAGCGAATATACACTCATTTGCAAACTAATTTGGTGAGTCTCTCGAAAAACGAGGGAAGTTACATAGTTTTCGAATCATGATGTGGAAATGAAATCATGCTTCTACAGTCCGAGATACTGGGATATGGGAGCTTAGTTCCGCTCGAATCTGGAAACTTTGGCTGACATGGCGGTATGGGATGACTTATGGGCCCTATTTTTGATCAAATCACTGCTGATTTGTTCGCCCAGCTTGGAAAAAACCACCTGATCGGCCACCACCAAACGCACTCGATTTACCAGTGTTTTCTCAATATTTCTTCCCTCCTCTTCGCTGATCGATACTCTTTCGTTATTTTTCCGTCGTCGCCTTTCACACATGTTTTTATCCCCCCACCACTGAACAGGGTTCGTGGCAGAAAAATCCGATCAACTAATATCTTATGCAATCTGAACACGTTTACTCACCTAACCATTATGACGAAGTCACAGACTTATTGATTAGAAGGGGCTATGTTGTCACTCAACCACGATTGGAACGTAAGTTGAATGTACCTCAAGGATTAATGATCGTCCCCTGAACAAGTTGGCATTTTGTTGACCTGATTGCACCGACAATCCGACTTAACAATCGAATCTCGGCCTGAGACATTGAACGCCCATTGAGAACGAACAGGATCGTTGAATACTTAGTGGCAATTGTGAGATATCAGTGTTTAAACTGATCGATTTCAATAAATGCTGTTTCCGACCCCCTTTGGTCATTATTGAAAACTCGCCGGTGTTTTCCACTCATGTTGAGCTTTGTGGAATCTGAAACCTGATGGAAGTCTATTCTAAAAATTATCCTCACTAAGTTGAAGTTTTTCCAATTGGGATGTTGCGAGAGGCTATCAGTTGCGAACGCGTTTAGTTTTCGCAGGTTTGGTACGACCTAACAAGTAGGTTATCGGTCTAGCTCATTTCCTATTGCACAAAATACCTTTTTTGGATGTACCCTCCCCTTGTTTGCTGTCGGTTGAAACGGATGTCTGTGGGGCTATGACGTGCAATGGCAGGTGCGCCTAGTTGTAAATTAAGTGTGGTTCTCCGCCGAAGACAGACAGTAGATGCGAGTGCGTTTTCCATCGGTTGGATTCGTCCGGTGACTTTCATAGGAATCTGGCACCCACAGCTTGCTTATTGCCAATCCTCCCGCAACAATTGACAGCGCGTGTGGATGAAGGAACTGACAAAGTCGCCAGCTAGTTGGCACAATTGACCTCCTAAGAAATGTAATTTTCATGGTCCTCGGTTTCTTCGAAAGATGCTTGCAAGTTAAAATGCAGGACAGGATACACGTACTACATACCATCGTCATAGGAAACGAGACACATCCACCACATTCATTCAAATGCATGGTTTTCAGAATATACGAATTTTAGATGGCTTGTTTGCTTCCTTTACATGAGAACACATTGTAGGACGTAAACAGCGGGTTCCCACTCACCGAAGTAACGTGCCATAACGTGCCATGATTGAGACACTACTATCTTTAACCCGAGACGGTGGGTTGAGGGTAATCTTATCACAGGCTACCTAATGTTGTTTTGTCATACAGGTAGGTTGTTTTAGTTGCCCTCTCTTTTGTGCAGCTAAATTTGCTTTCACCGAAGTATTGCACTAAGGCTTCACATTGTTGTATCTCTATACACTGAGTCGCTTTGGCTCACCTTGCGTTCTTCTAGTTTCCTGGACCACTGATTAAACCAGTACATCTTTGTAGCTTTGGTGTTGCTCGCCTTCATCCTAACGATCAGAGATGGTTTCGACGATCTCATTCCTGGTCGCACTTTGCCTTTGTGCATTGTTCCCCCGTCCTGTGACGACACCTCCAAGTAATAAATGATTAACCTGTGGCTGTAGGTCAAAACCATCTTTGCTTTCTGACAAAAAAACAAGACTCCCACGGGACACAACCAGATCAATTACAGCTTTCTCGCTGGTCAAAGACGCTTCACTACATGCCTTAATACACCGGAACGCTGCATACTTTCCTGTTTGTGATAACAATAGAACCGTGTTGCAGTGAACTAGGGGGGTTTGTTTGCTTGTAGTGCGTGGTTGGTCACAACGTAGCACTCGTAATGTCCATACACACTCCCCCTTTGTGGAGTCATTTACTGTCTGGGTGGGGCACAAGACGTCTAATCGAAATAATTTGAGTAAAGCGTTTCATACCTAAGTGTCCACTGCCCAAAAGTAAAGAATTTGTGTGATACTGCAGAAAGCATCTGTGATTTTTATTTGTGTCTTCCCTATCCCTGCGGTTTTCGAATGAAAAATCTCAACCATTTGATAGCTGAAATTGCGCTTGACACAATTGGCTTTCTCAATTTCTTCGTAGTGGGACGTAGTCACATCGTAATTTTGAGTTGCAGCGTCGATCAATAACTTGAGGATTTCAATGGACGATTACTCAAGTGAACGTCGATGGTTTAGTTTTGCCGTATAAATTGTATGCCGTGATGTTTCTAGCTAGTGCCCGCAGAAAACACTCATTGTTTATGAGATCATGTATTCGTCCACCAGAATGCCAGTTACACAAGCAAACCAGTGCTTGTTCCTTCCATTTGGAGCAATGTTTTATTTGAAAAGCCCTTGGAAATCCACTGTAACGGGGTTTTCTGTAATGGATTTTTTTCAACGGGCATGCTTCCACGCAAGTTGAATGTCATGTCTTCGTGAGGAAAACTTCGCGGTATCGGTATCTATAATAGCGCTTTCACTTGTGTGCGATTCATGCAGATGCTTGGGTTTATGGACTTATGCATGCGTCCGGTGTTATCCGAAGGAAACACACTTGGTCCCTTTTCACAACAGAAAGCCCAGCAAAATACATATTAAATGCTCATAACTGAAACATGACCTGATTGGTCAGTACATGCTAATTTTAGCAATCAAATGCGTGAATATAATTAGCAGGGTGTGTTCGAGAATACACAAATAGATTCAACTGTTTTCACGGTTGACAATCTGGCACGTTAGAGTGGACCTGCAGTGTGTTTTGACCTGAAGTGTGCACTCATGCAAATTGTTTTCCATTTGTGGCGTGTTTATTAGGTGTCACGTTAAAGAGCGGAACCGCTCGTCCCTTTCTGCTTTTATCTGCCATTTTATTTTAGTTTATTGTTGCTTTTGGCAATGAGTATCTCACAAAGAAACTGCTTCTCGGGTAATATTTCTAACCGGTCTGTCAGATGATTACTTTGCAAACGTTTCATCACCAATGGAGCTGACATCATCAGTGCGTTGTTAGGGAGCGTAGTGGTGCACAGCGATTGGCATGTGGTTGTGCATAGGCAGTTGTGTGCAGTCCCAACACCGACCCATCCGCACGCACCACTGCGCTCCCTAACAACGCACCGATAATGTCGCTTAGATTAGTGATGAAACGTTTGCCCAGCTCAGCGAACAAACCAGTGACCATCTCCGCTACCTGAGCTACCAACATTTTCCTCTATAGAAAAGATGATTACTTTACCAGCATTATAATAGGCCACTCCGATTCCCAGCTTGCTTCTGACTCTCCTTAGCTATATTCTGTTTTACCCAAGTTAAATCGTAGTGTGGTTATTATGAGATCTAATCACACGATGCATGAAGGATGCATACCCATGGTGTTCATACTGTCTGAAAGCCCCTGATATGGTCGATTTGGAGTGCGGCGATGTGAGCATAACACTTAGTGCGCAAGCATGACAGATGGTTTATGTTTAGTGGGTCGCTGACAAGGATTCATATAAACAGACACGCCGCGGTGGTTCTGTCTGATCCCTCTGTGTGCTTGACAGGACCTGATGTTTTCCATCACTTAAATATCCGGTTTACAACCAATACTTTTCCGCAATCTATAGTTGTACACAAACTAATCAGGAGTAATCGGTTTGTCTAATCTGGTATTGTTCGGGGCTTTAGTTTGGATTTACTGGGCTTTCCCATCTCATCTTAATGGGATCATCAATGAGTGCGAATACTGATGCCTAGTAGTGCATCAGTCCAAGTGCTAGCGCTTAGTTTGACTCAGATGTGTACGTCGGTCCGAACCAAGGTGGCGTCCGACTACCCAATTCTTACCTTTGGGACACTACCCAGAGAAGGCATTATTACGGGTAGAAATGGGGTTTTCACCTAATCTTAGCAGCTATCCTTACGCTAGAACACCGTAGCTTGCTCATTTCACTTGGTTTGTGTTTAGACGACTGCAGTGCATCGTCATTGTAGACAGAAATGACGATCTCTATCGGATTTTCTCAAGTTCTATATGTTTAGGAGGCATTCTGACCAGTGCCAGTGGATTTGGGGTTAATTTGTCGATTCATACCAGGTATCCAGCCTCACTAAAGACTGAATTGACCAGGCCTCATTATATGAAACCCACTTAAGGACGTTCCTGTGTTGTAGTTTTTTATTTCCCCTATTTCCTCCTATTTCATACTTTTTTGCGGTGGAAGCAAGCACACGAAATGGATTCATCCCGCAACTCTGTTCTCTTTGCTCTGTTCAAAGTACTAATTTTCGCGTAACTCAGTCGCTAGGAGTCGATGCGATCCTGATAGGTAGCTTGACAGAGTCTACTTGGCTCTGAACATGTACTCATCTCATGAGCCATTTATTTTTTGAAATATTTAAGCGCGTCGAATTTTTAAGCTTATTTTTACGCAGGACTCCATTCTATAATGTTAAGCCCTTATCATACTGCCCGCATAGTGGTCACCGTTAATTTATGTGTCGATTTGAAAGAATTATACCATAACAGAGCTAACTTTGTATTGATATTCGATTGGGGCTAATCGTAAGCTGTCGAAACGTGGGTGGTTGGGTTTGGTCAGAAACCAGTTCAGAAGAGGGGTCTGAATGTGTTTGATTTGGACGAGTTTGGTAATCCTCCACTAATCGTTCGTTGTTTATGCTTAGCCGCTTACCACAACAGTAAGCACCCTCAAATTTGGACACCATCCCAACCAACAACAACATCAATATTGGGCTGAATTTCCCACTGCCGAAGTCAATCCACTCTGGAAACAACGACAGAAAAAGCCTATTTCAAAAATTGAGTTACCTCTCAGAAGGGACTAGTTTTATTTGGTAGCTACAGCATCTAAATAATGTCCCACTTTTGAAGGAAGGACGGGAACAGGAAATTGGGTGGCATCCTCATGAGCACTGACCGCCACGTACGGCCGTAGTAAGTTGTTCGAAGCCATAGTGTGAAAAGAAGACCTGGGAAGGAAATAACCTCTCACTAACTTCCCACAAGCATACTGAGAAGTTCACACTTTCAAACCATTTCAAGCAGTCCGGTGGGAAATCACTAACAATAAATCAGAGCATCTTTCCGGGTATGATGAGTTTTGTGCGGGCATTATTTCGAAGGCAGGCTTCAGCAACACTATATAGATTTCCCCTGATCGTTTCCACACCTCTCTGGAAGACCACTCTAAAAAGGCACGGAAGATTGCCCTGTCCAGTAAATGATAACTCGGTATTTTACTGAATCGCCCCAAACTTGGTATTGGATATATTCTTCATTTACGCAGCCATTAGCCAGCTTTTTGAGTCGCTTCGCGTTAGTCTTTACGGCCTCCGTTTCTCAGACCTCAAATAAAAAATTCTGAAGCGATTTCATTCCGTACAAACTTGAATCTAAGTCCCGCATCTATGGGATTGTCTATTGTCTACGAGGAATCCTGTAGTTGATTTTTCCAGTGTCTTGCAAGAAAGCAAGGACCAACGCCTCATACGACCTGTTATTTCCTCCTTGATGTTATATCAGTCAGACACGTTAGATCACCGAACTGGAGAAGACAAACAACTTCGACTAAGTTATACTGCAAACAAATGGATCGTTCCGTTGTATGGGATTCAACTAAACCAAAATACAAAAAGAGCTAACAGTCCAATAGGATGTCAGTGAGAGGCTAAAATGTAGAAACAAGGTTTTAGTATACAAGACAAATCGTTAGTTAAATGGATTTGTTCGTTTGGAGGTAGTCCTCCTAACACGACCAACGTGTATGATACCGATTTTGACATCTAACATTACAAAACAGGATGTAGAAACAGTATAGCTATCATTTACGGTAGTCCATGCAATTTTATCCATCTCCATGGATAGTGTAAGCCCTATCTCCCCTTCATCTCTATGCCTGGTATGTTGTTGTGACATCTAACAGCGTGGTTAAAAGTGGTTGTTAGAGGAGTATATTTTCAATAAAGTGAAGTTAATCCATCCAAAAAAGAAACCGGGAAGCACTTTACAGCTGTTTCATTCCTACTGGGACTCATCACAAAACCCCAAGACGATTAGAAACCTGGCTAGTAGGTGAAGACTAAACCGTTTGGCCATGAGCGGCTTATCAGCAGTGTAATTTTTTATACTTAGTATATAGCTCCAAGCATTCTTTAATCATGCAACTCACATCACATGGCCATGCATTGACTGGCTCTCAAACGTAAGATTCATTCGTCGCGTGAATCTTGTTCTTCCCTGTGAGCTGCCTTTATTTTCCGGTAGTATGAGGGGATTTGACAGTTGTTCGGTGGTAATTTAGTTCCATTGATGACAACCAATGAGGATGAAACAGCTGTGCAGTGCTTTTCGGCTCTTTGACATGGGTTGACTTCAACTACAGGATGAAATGTGATTGTTTTGGAAAAGTTGTGCGTCTTTAAAGATCAAGTAAGGTAAGTATTACGTGGGTTCCAGTCCAAGTTTGTGACCTGTCTCGTAAACTCACCGTTCTTGTAAGAACGTCCACTTTTTCGTGTTTTCGTTGACTTACGCGTGTGCTTGCATTTACATGATGAATCACTGCTACGGAACTCCGGCTGATTAGGGATTTAGGGTGGATTTCAGATATATTTTCAGGTTGTTTATTCGAAACTCTAAAAACACCAACTGACGAACAATGCGTTATAAAGGGCACCTTACTTATCCAAGAATGGAAGTAAGTTGACCGATAAGTAGCCTGAAGCAACTGCACTGAGATTTTTGAGTCTAAAGTTTACTTTTGAAGCTCTTCCGCTGGCAGTTTATCTGCATACCAGTTCTTCCTGAGGAAAGCCCACGACGAGGTGCCACTCCTTGAGAGAGTCGACAGCAGTGTTCACAATTCGCAGCTTCGTGTGCGATCCACAGGTGAGGTCAAGTCATCCCTCCTCATGGAGATTTCTCTTGAGGAGATTGCCATATTTACCCACTTTTTTCTTACCTTGACGGGAGTGCCTTTCAGACTTTTGTCCCACAGTCGATTACCAATACTCGTCAACAGCAAGACACAACCACTGGTGATGATTCAGGGCTAATTATGATTCAAGCTCCTCCGCATCTGGTGTATACTGATCATCGGTGCCGCGGAAGTGTCCGTGTTTTCACTACAATGTTCCCTTCATGGCGGTATCAAAACTAATTCTCGGGTGGGCTATTATTTCTGGGAACCGACGTCAATTCTGTTTGCACACGGTCAACGAAATTCAGTCTTCCGCAGTTTCTTTCAGTAGTTTTTGCCAAGGTTGTGCTGAAACTCGTCACTTCATATAAAGTGAATACCCTAGTTATTCACCGACCTCGTGTGTAACTTTCAGTTCACTTTATCAGCGATAAACCATGCATCAAGGGTACGTTGGCTCCAGCTGCTACAGTTTTAGTCACTGAAAAGTGGGAGAGCATGAGTGATACAGCCAAGCACTGGAGGCGATGGAATGTTCAGTTATTTTCAGAAACTGGACAGCTACGTATTGAAAGCGATAACTGTGATGCACGATCGTCATGACTGCGTGATTGAACGATGTCTTCTAGCGTCGTTAACCGTTGATGAGTTGAGTTCCGGAGTCCTCATTCAGGGAGAGCGGCATTAGACAACCCGACTGAGTTTATTGGCTAGTGGTTCCGTAGTTTATTGCCAGATCATAGACTGTCCACCTCTCGGTCGCGTCCACGGAGCACAGAGCAGGGCGAAAACAGCTCTGCGAGGCACAATCCTCTGACAGTGTGTACAGTTTAACTGTCACTTGATTAGCCTACTTGGTGGCAGCCATTTACTGTCATCTGGTAGGAACTGGATGACTGTTTCACTATGAGAGACGTTTCGTCCCCTATTCGGACATGACACACTGAAGCTAACCAGTACTTGTAATTGAACTTATGGTCGCACTGCGCACATGTTGCATTCAGTAGGTGGTATTTCTCCTGGATCCTGCGCACTCAGTCACATTCAGCTTCTTGTTAGCCCCATACAGTGCTCAGTAATAACAGCCATAACAACTCGGCAGCCATCGTAATCTGAATAGGACCCAAGCCACGTAGACCCTGTCGCTGATATCAACATGATGCTGTAACGAAAGGCATAGGGGTCCAGTGGCTAGTTTACCTATCGTTTATATCTGCGACTGGCCTTCACACGAACATGCACTTGATCTTAGTTCTTCTAGATTCACCATATCGAAGATTCAATGCAGTATCATAAAATGCTACTTCCGACAACTAAGTATTTGCTTCTTAGCCTAGGAGGTTTATAACCCTATTAGCACCAGAATATTTATTGTACTTGCAACTGTATTTCCCATTCTCAGTGTTATTTTAGACGATTCTTCTAAGTGCGAATCACCGTTTATCTGGTTTGTTTAGCATAATATATATTGGACAACTTTAGCAGTTCATCAATATTCAAGCTTTAGTTAGATAAACGATCCCGCATTCTACTGTAACATCTGCTAAACTTACCTCAACATCAGCTAAAGAGTTGCTGAACAGTTCGAACAAACTGACGAGGTTCTAACTTCTCCGCGGTCGATCGAGTCAAACAGCCAGGCCTAGTTTTACTTACATTTTTTCTTGAACTTCACATTTGTGACATCAGGCCTGAGGCGCGGTTCTACCAACACCTCTGGTATGAAGTTTGAATAAAAACTAGCTTTCTAAAGATGTCGCTTTGGAAGAGATCGCCTCAACTGCATGACACAGACAGGGGGAAAGAAAAGGACGGCTGTGTTTGTCCTTCGCTCTGACACTCAGAGGAACCAGCAAAATAGAAAATAGACCGAGGCGAATGCTCGATTTTCATAAGAACTTGGTCTCACAACGATCACTTCCTGCGTTGCCCGAGAACATTGCTAATAGGGACCGATTGTCCTACATCTTGAACATCATCATCACTACCGGGTACAGATGTTTCCATTGTACACCAGTCTATTTACCTGCCATTTTACCTAAACAAGACACATTTCATTCTCGAATTGCCGTCAGGGTAGTTTTTACATCCTGCTTTTCAGCGTCGTCTGTCCTGATTGTGTTTGCGCACCGCGCTTGAAAAAGCTTGTCTGCATGCGTTGGAAGATGAAAAATGGCGTCAGCCGACTGGAAAGAATAACTCAGATTATGAGAAACAGCGGAGTGTGCGATCTGATTTAGAAACATTAAAAAAAGAATTCACTTAGTTGAAATTTCAACAGGAATCTGACTACCAGTGCATAATCAGATAATTGTTTTTGACGTAGGAAAGGATACCAACCACACCGTGGGCTCGAAGTTAGGCGTGAATTACATGCGATCGAGTCCTGACATTTTTCTAGTGAGTCGTGGCCAGGCTGAAACCCGCAGTGGATTACTCTTCCAGGACTGACCACTTCTGCGTTATAGTTTTCCAACCGGTTTACATTCCGTTTTGCCCGTTTTCTGTTGTTCCGGTTCGTCATTCGAGGGGAAATTCACCCATCCTCAAACGAAGTCCCCAGTTCCATTTGTCAGTTCATCTAACGCAATGTTCGAACATGTGATTTTTGTGGGCTAGAATCGAATCCGTTCCCCGTTTGTGCTCATTTTTGTCGCGTAGCTCGTCTGCGCAATTATCTTGTTTCTGGGTTGATGAACTATAGACACTCATTGTTCCCAATGGAGAGGCTACAAAACGATACCTTTCATGAGCTGACAAAACTTCTCATTATTGATATGCAATGGTCATTTTTCGGATGAATGTGTTTATTCGGACGCTGGTCAAAAATTGTGAGGAGTACGTAGGTACATTAATGTTCTCACAATCTCTCACACCCGGAAGCAACATGTGTTGATGAGTAAAGGCTGGTTTCGACAACCTGGTAGATTGGTTTTGTTCCAAATGAAACGTGCTCAACCTGTTAGGCACTGCGGTTTTCCAGTTTACCCATCGTTCAGTTAAGTGGTGCGTTTTATCAAGAAGAGCCATCAGTCCACTAACAATAAGATGGTTCACCTCACTTATCACTTATCAGCTCGAAACAACGCATTCCCGCTTGGACCGATCGCATTTTGTACATGGCACATCGAGATTTTGCTACAGAACATTATGCCACCCTACTGCGCGACTTGAACTCCGTGAACATTCCTCGTCGCTCAGCTGTACGGGGCTCGCCATCCAATGTGGAGCAGCATTTCCCATCAAACAGTCGTGAATCTATTGGGGAATTGCAACCGGAGATCAAACTGCTCGAGTATACCAGTCTACCAGAGTACAAATCGTCAGATCATCGCCCCGTGGTCGGTTCGTTTGAGTTTGCTGTTCCCTCTCGGTGGTTCAGTCTGCCCGTGAGCTTCATTGAACCTATGGGGAAGGGTGAGTATTTTGTTTCGTAATTCGTTGGTCACTTACTTGGATTGGTAGTTCGTCCAGGGTGAATCATCCCAGCCGGAGTTGGCTACCTCCGATGCCGCTGCTTCACAGCTTAGAACTCCCGAGGTCCTAGACAGGAACAGAGAAACTCGGTCAACTCCGCGGTAAATCCACGGTATGTTTCACCTCGGATTTACAAACCGACCCATTTCGACGCCAGACTTGGCTTAAATTTTTGCTAGGCTTTTTTTAAATCATATTACGTATTTCGTGTACACAGCAAGTGACCAAAACGTGACCCAAACTTATGGCTACTGACTAGTTGCCTGATGCGTCCAGATAACAAAGCATAATATAATATCCTTCAGCCTCAAAAACATTTAACTGTCAAGCTGCAATGCCACCCGAAGGAAGCACGAGGGCTGAGATACTGCCAGGTTGTCCATGCCTAGGTAACAGTAGTCGAGGCGCTAGTATTGGGTTCGACTGAAGTACCTGAAGTACCACTGAAGTACCTCGAGGTCGACTTGTGAAGAGTACGGATCCGAACACATTGATATATCCTATTGGTTTTGTTAGCGAAACCGTTGGATGCAAATGAACGTGTGAAACCCGAACTGATAGATTTTACAACGAAAGCTTGCGGAGGAATTTCACAATTGCGCTCATAATGTTGATAAGCGACATGCACAGCTAGTGCACAGAATTTGTTCTTTTGATCTGCCCAATAAAATAAGTCCTTTTTATGGTTAACTGTCTCCATTCATGCTATATACCTTGTTATCCGGTTACCTATGGGAGGGATTGCACATGTAAACCGGAATTCTGCGTAGCGTAAACGGGTTTTGTTCTCTGCCAGTTCCTGGACCGAAGAAAATAGTGAACTTTCGTCAGTACATCTGTAAATTCGAAAAGCTTTATAAATTGTTAGCTAGTAGAACAAACGACAGGACATGCGGTTCACATCAACAAGCGTGTTGGTGTGTGGATGAACTGGATGTGGTCGAACTTTCTTTCTGTTGCTTTCGTATCCATCTACCCCATGTATAGAATTCCCCGACCCAGAGACATATGTTAGCCTTCCCCCTTATCTTCTTCATCGAAAATCGATACATGAATGCTCCCGGAAAATGTTGACTTTTTGCCACGAGCGTTTGCTTTTTGTGGCTACGACCTCTAGTGATTCAGTATGCAGTTGTGCTCTTTTAGGGAGATCAAATCTCTTGTTGCCATCAAGCTGAGGGTATTCGGAGTGCAAGAAATCTAATAATAATATTTAATAACAACAATAATAGTATCAATGGTGATTTTCTATTGCAGAACTGTGAACTAAACGCAGGACTTTAATGATAATTTAGTACCGATCAATGTGTTATCAATTGATTTGTCATGAGTGGCAGACGTCTGATACTATGGTTTTCAAGAAACGTGCATCAGTATCAGTAAATTACATTCAAGTTTGGATTTTCTTGTGAATTGAAAGAAGTTTTAGATTCATATAAAGTGGTTTAAAATTGTTTTCGGTCCATATTACAACCCTAGTGGGGTGTCCTGCAGGTAATTGGATATCAAACTGTAGTTAAACATTCAAACCGGTTACCGTGCATCATGACTCACCGCCTGTATACCGTGCTATGCCTTTTGATTTTCAAATTGTAGCTATATCTCATCCTTTCCTTTTTACAATCGCACCACGCTCCTATAACTGGTACGTTGTGTAGACTTCAAGTTTCTGATTCCGTCCTGTTTACCTTCTATTAGCGACGAGTTCTTTTCACGTATGCTTACACAATTCAGGCATGCTGAATAGCCATTTAATAGTATTGTGGTAGCACACTATCCGGGTTTGCACTATATGCCTGCTACTAGTTCGTACATTTCTGTAGGCTTTTCAGCGTGACCAGAGTTTTCCAATCACTGGTCTTCGCATTTGTCAACAGCGGTCACTGTGGTTTGCGTTCTTCAGGTGGTTTCATGGGCGATATGATTAACCTTACGTACCACCGGTTCATGAGTGAAGCTAGATAGCAAGATTTGACTCAGGAATTTACTCGCAGCAGCGAACGCCATGTACGTCCATGTCGTGTTCTCCTTCTCGAATAAGTTCCTCAGTTTATTAGCTGAAAAGTCAGTTACGGAGGCCCAATTTATCAACTCTGTTTGGTGTTATCCAGATGTCTATTGTGAGATAATGACTTTTTAGGGACTCCGATGCTATCATACAGCGAAGCGTGCTCTCATCAAGTATAACGAATAAGTACATATCAATAAGAAGAAGTTTGTTTACTGTTTTAACAATCTTATCGCCTTGCCGGCCACAGTGAACGACCATCCCAATTAGCTAGTAGAAACGAGTGACAAAGGCTGGCTCTGTGTTTATTAAAAAGGACTCAGTGGATGCAAAATATCCTCGGGCTTTGTATTCGTCAAGCACGTGATGATATTCATCACCCCGTCTTACAATTCGCCCTATTTATAACCCAAATTTAGAACACCCCAACTCTCACACTGAGGTATCGCTTAATTGAAGTTCCGGACCGGAACACCGGCATAGCCTTTCAACTGACGTCAGGTTACAGATTGATTCCGAAAGCATTACCGCTCATTAGAAGGGAGCATAGTGAACATTGTAAAGTGTGAACTCTTCATACTAGCGCAATCCTGTGATAACCTGACTGGGAACCTTTTGCACCTCAAACATGAACACAAAGGCCGTACTTGTCTGCACAGTTCCGTGCGCTAAATTGATCCTATCTATTCCGCTATTTAGAGCGAAATGGATTGGGTTCCACTCATCCGAAACAAGTCGAAACAGGACAATTGAATTACTTGGCAAAACTCTGGATGTTTCCTCCGGTTCAACTTAGAACTTCAAAATTTTAATGCCCATTCCCGGAGGCAGATGTTTTCGGAATTAGTCATCAATGTTTACTTGATGTGCTACGAACTCCTAGAAAACTATTCCCTAATACTTCAGTGGATCGAAAAGTCTTTAAGACTAGAGCAAAGGTAATAGGTACAGCAGCACGTTTGACGCACGACATACGTCATTATCTGCCACCAGAAGATGGCGCTTTTTTATGGTTTCATTAAGTTATACCAAAGTTTCATCCATTAAGCCTATCACCATATCTTCACAGTTCTTCAGTCCATCCATGGCATCAAACAGCTTGTTTTACCTCTGTATAGGTTTTGTTGCTAGACCTCGTATTTTCTTCAGTGCCTTCATATCTGCATCCGTATGCGGGACAGTTCAACAACTACGTACCCGGACGGGGACGTGTTGACCCCTTGGATCAAACCGACTTCCTGTATCGCTTTCCCCATGTCATCTTCACACAGAGGTGCTTATAACTGATCATTTGGCGACCTGACCGTGGTTTTCTTCCCGTCCGGTTTAACCATGTGGCGTTCAGATGCTAAGAAATAAGTTTCTAACCCATCAAAGGTGCGTTATTGTGGGAAGGGCTACTGTGTATTTCCTGTTCTCTTCACATCCTGTGCTAATAACAGACCAGGCAATCTAAACCTTGCGGATCGTACTTATATCATCATAAACATTTGCCTCTATTCGTGATTCCATATGATATTACCGTCTGCTGACCTAATCCCTCTTCGTGTGCAAATCGGTCAGCTAAGGAGCCTCGGACGACCTTGGAGCATTCGTTGGACTTACCTGACCTTCAAATGTGAATTAAACGGATCGTCTTTTTTTGTTGGGATACTTGTTATATGTCTATGTACGGCTTTCGGCGAGATGGCCCAAGTGGTTAGAGCGCGAATTTACTGACCGGAAGATCCGTGGTTCGAACCCGACCTATGTCTCTCGACTTCCCCTGTCTAGGCTTGGGCAACCTGGGAGTATCCCAGCCCTCGTGCTTCCTTCGGATGGCATGGCAGCTAGGCACCGGAGGGGTGCTACAGCTGAACTGAACGCTTCGGCTAATTCACTTCTCATCGCTGTGTGAAGTTTATGCTAACACCCCAGTCCACTTGGTAGTCCAGCTAATTGTTCGCCAAAATTTTCGAACAAGTGGATCTCGTTACAACGCATCCGACTTATTTCGGTATCCCTGTAGGCCAATATATTTTCTCTACTCGTCAGCGACAAGGAGGAGGGTGTTTTGTGCTCATATGTGGTAAATGACTCTATGATGAGCGTTAATTACTGTCATGAACGCGTCGTTTGTAACCTGGAGGAACACAGGTTGAACCCATGGACATTGTGTATGCACTGTTTAGCTCGGACACATGTTTGATTTGAATCAGTTCAGTGCCTTCAACAGTGTTTCGCTCAACACACGGTATGACAATCTATGGGTTCCGTGCACACAGTCCAAGTTCATCGTAAATTTTAGTAACAGCTTTGTTGACCGATATGTGCTGCAAATTTGAATGTTCCAAGTCACTTAGAAAAACTGGCAGCCTAATGGTGTTTCACACAGTATAGTAAGTGTATAATTGAGCATGTGAAATGATAGTCGGATAGATTTAGTGATAGGTTTTCCAGAGTACTGATTGTTTTTGACCGAAATGAATATGGTTGCGCGTCTTGGCGGTGAGAAGATCGCGAATGAATACGTGGTTGGCCACTATCGGGTACGTCACATCTTTCAAAACAAAGAATGTACTAAGAAATCATGAACCCAATGAAAAATGTTTTATATGAGGAAATGTCTCTTCATTCAGAAGGTCAAACAGTGATTTGCTGTTCATCCGGAAGGATTACGTTCATTTTGTAGACGGCATTGTAAAACTTATGTAACCTTGCTGAAAAATAAAGTTCTCATACTCTTTCTGCACTCTGACTCCGTTTTGGACCAAACCTTCGATTAAGCGATACCTGGAAAAGATAGTTTATGTGCTCCTCACGTCGAGAAGCGCTGTTTCTTATACGTCATGGGACGCAATGCTGATGCGATGCGATGACTTCATAATTATTTCCTACCCTCTTGATTCTCCTTTTTCCCATAAGCTCGAAAACGGTACTATCTTTACCTAATATTTTCACGGAATCTTTTTTACAGGTTTACTTAAAAATTGGACTGCAATCTGTTCCCCGAATTACGGGGGATCTAAAGTGATAATGGAATGAAACCACAACTTTGACTTAGCACAGAGATAGTCTTTGCGAGTATTGATATTAGGCTTCCGATCTGACAAAATACCCATTAACTGCGGTAGTTTTTTCGTCGCTGTACAACAACCTACGTACCGACAAAAGTTTGGACTGAATGCGGGTGATATTGAGGAAAATAACGTCAAACACAGTGTTAAACATAGGCTTAGTCCGGTATGGTAGGTAGGTTGCACACAAGCAATGATCTAAGCCAGAAAATTCATTCGTAGCTCACTGCCTTTCGCAAAACACCTGAATGAACGCACTTTCGGAACGTGAAACTTTTATTTGACTCCAGAGAAGACATGCGTAGACACCACAGCCAGTGTTGTGAAACGCAACTAGTGCCCAACACTCGGAATAGATTTCTATGCTCGGGAGAGTGCCTGAATCAGTGAGCAGTAGGTTGTCGACGATATTCTACCTTGTATGTAGAATATCATGGAAAGGCTAAAGGAATCCTATTTATCTCGTTTATTACTAACTCGGTATGTGCTGACCTGAAGATGTTGTTTTCAAAGTGATTCCCACTCCTACTCTACATGAGAAATGTAGTGGGAACCCCCAACAAGATACTTGTAGCATATAGCTATTAGAAGGCATATTGAGAATCCAAGAAGCCGATCCAGATAAAGGGATCGGTAAGGAGCATTTGGGATTAGTTAGAGAAGGGCATTGACACAAACAGCGTAGTCAGCATCTTCCAGGGTCAAAACTAGATCAATAAGCGAATAAGATTGTGCAGTTTCCTCTTAGTTTGATTTTAATTCGCAGAAGAAGCAGTGCTCTAAGAATTCTATAGACAACAGACATGTAGACAATCAAACGATTTCTTACCGCATCTCGTTTTGAAATCCGATCCCGAAGAGTCAAGGACGCTACTCAAGGCTACAAATTACTTATCAAATTCAAATCCATAGGGATTCGTTGCCCGGATCTCTAACCACCGAGATAGCTGAAGGGGTTTAGATAAATGTCTGCTGCAACTACTAAACTGTTGCTTGTCTGCGTTCTGGGATGGTCTCCGACTTTACGAGTTCGACTTGGACACTATCTGTGTAAAAAGAATTTACAACAAACTATCGTTCTTTGGCCTATTTGCCTCCCAGATCGAAAGTTCTTGAACGACCGTTTTTTCAGGTACCTGAAAATCAGCCGGAAGAGAGGCTATTTATTGTCGTTCGTGTATCAGTTTAGTACCACAAACGCTGTTGCATATGTTGTGCATGCCATGCGTGGGACTCTAACTGCATTAGGGTTGCTGTTCGGACTGTCCCGATGCATTTGGTAGTCTTCAGGTAGTCACAGATCAGTGTGTAACCGCACTGTTGCGTGATTGTTCCTAACACAGTTTAGTGCAGCTCACATCACAACATATATGAAAGCCAAAAGTAATCAGTTTACATCGATGCTATTCAAGCTGCCTTTATATCGCTCTTTTTGTTGTGTAAATACCTTAGAATGCCCAACGACCATATAGCCTACGGAGATGGTGAAGCCGTTATGTTGAATCGCTCTTCCTTCTCCCTTAATCAATCTGCCGAACCTAGGCCAATCGCACAATTACTAAAAACCGACGGTCCCTCAATTCGAATGTCCATAAGTCCGAGTTAGTCTCCCAAACAGCCACTAACATTCCGTTTTTTATCTGGTAACGTTTAATTACCCTTAAAAATGAATAGGTCATGTATTGTCGACACCACCAGTTTAGGTAATGGTAAATCTCATCCTTTTTATGTGTTGTGGTCTCATTACAAGCCTGTTAATAGTTTCTCTATCGATTATTTCTTGTATTTACACTGGTACCGCCAAAGGCTACTTTTGATGATGTGATCCCACTAATTTATCTAGTGGTTGAGCTCTAGATGGCTCAGTAATTAAGGCGGGAACCTACTGACCCGAAGGTCTGTGGTTCGAACTCAACCTCTGCATCTCGATCGCTCCTGTCTATGCTTGGACAACCTGATAGTATCTCAGCCCTCACGCTTCATTCGGATGGCATAACAGCATAACTGATTGTTACAGCTAACCAATTATTATCATTAGTAGTATTATGGTGGTTTAATTCGTATTCCACATTTAACGAGATGGGTTGCTGTATGGTGCAAATCTAAAAGCCAATGCTAGATTCATGGAAAAGGAAAGTTTTACTTCGAAATCGGGAGTTTAAGCCTCTTTGAGGTGAGTAGATGGCTAGTGGTGACAAAAACGCTTGGTTTTCGAAAGGCTGGTTCTGTATATTGCAAAAAGCGAAGAAACTCCCATATGCAGCTGCGCAGAATGGCGTAGGTGTTGTGAACACTAGTCATTAGTGCTTGTTTTTGGGCATCTGAGCTTCTTGATTACGGATACTTACCTAATTCGACCAAATTCACTTGTTTCTCAGTCATTACGGAGAAGGACTAATGTACCGCTTGGAACTAGGCCCTATGCCTTCCCGATACTATGTGGTTCAAGTAACTTACCCGTGAAATTAACCCGTATGGTTGACAAGCTTCATGATCGCTGTTGTTTACAATCCTGACAAATACAAGGTTCTATCTGTTACAATGCATTGTAGTCCGAGTGGTTTGTCACTGAACTATCCATCGCATATCTCATAACGGTCAGAATTCATTCAGAAGTCACCATACTTGCGGGCCGTTCAGCTAGTGTTGTGTGTCGTTTCACCAAAACTGACGTGATCTAGGCGCTGTCCGATTGTTTTTCGTTGCGGTAAAAACGGTGCTCGTTCACTTTGTGTATGAACTACATTCCTGAGTGATGCCAGTTGTTTGTGATTGTTCATGTTCGAAACGCTGGTGGTGTTTGCAAAACGCACCGCTTTTTCTTCAGTTAGGGGTTGACACCGAATGAAAAAAAAACAATCTGAACTACTGGCTACGTTGGCTGATTATAGAACCCCAGCGGTGATTAGTTCACTGACTGAGGTGCAGATGAGCCGTACGTTTAGGCCGTGCTTTTCATCTTTACGTTCTCGCCTCAGCCCAGAGATCTTTTGGCCTCCAGTAATAGTGTGCTTATCATGTGTATCCTGCTTTTTTCACTTCCGGATCCTCGTTTCGCGTGTGTACGCGAGGCTTCTACCTCTTCCTAATTCACCCTCTCTTATTATTCCTCCGTTACTTGTTAGGAAACGAGTAATATCAGAGGAGATGGGATCATTCATGTAGCCATTTAGGTTACAGTTTCGTTCTTTCGATCTGAACACCAAAGATGCATGACTATGGATAAGTACTCAATGGCTATGAGTGACTACTTCCGATCAGTCACCAATATGATTACCGTAAAATCATTGAGAAAAACGTTTGCAGCTTAGGTTCTGTAGTCCGTCCGTTGAGCTGGGTAGTTTGGTCGCAGTGTGTCCTAGTAGTCCACCAAATCGTACTGTGCAGATCGTTGGTGACAATGCCATGACTGTGCAGCCAAGTGAATAGGCTGATGGGTCACGGTGAAACAACACTTTCTACCAGTCAACACTCCGTACTGCACGTTTTCTGTCGAACTCCCAAGTTTTGGCATACTTCATCCGGTGGACTACACATTTACACGCTATCACTAGCTCTCTAGTGGTAGGTCAGATGTCAATAGAATTTCACAACTTACATTGTTTCGGCGAGATCTGTCGCCTTCACGTCAGTATTTTTGGAAAAAAATAAGAAAAGCCACCACATGAATCGATTGATATAAACAACACTCCTATCATAATTTAAAATAACACCTCATCCGGTCAGTTTTTTCTCACATTGAAACGAGCCATCAGCCAGAATACGGGTGACCCAGCGCTTTGACTTTTCGCCTTTTAGTCAACCCGTCAGAATGATTTAATGCAATGAATTTAATGAACT